CAGGAAAGTATGATTTGTGTGTGTGCATGCACACACACGTGCGTGCTCTGTTTTCTCTGTCATCATGGATACATCATCATTTTCTGTTTGATGATTAGAAGCTAGAATTATTATTCAGGAGACTAGCAGGATCCAGGATCTAGCACTGGAGAGATGGACTTGAGTTCTCATCTCATAAGTATCAGATGTTAGGGAGGTTCTTGGGTTTGGAGCCCCTGGTAAGTTTGTGCAGTAATCCTGCAAGTGAGAATATCGGGCATGTTTTGTGTGTTTCTGTCATGTGGTACTGTAAACCAGTAATATTTGTTAGTGGATATCTTCATAAATGACCACATGAACTCTTGATGAAACAGATTTATGTGTATGTGGGGAGTGCACTTGTTTGGGTCCTTAGAATTCAACTTTGTTTGTTTGAGGCAATTAACAATTTACTCTTGGTTGAAAATTAGCAACTGCAAACACATTGCTTTAAGTTGTATTGTACCACATAGAAAACACACTGAGGAACAGGGTGCAAAAGCTAAGTTGCTTGCCTCTTGGCTTTTGCATCAGTTTTCATAGGTAGGCTAGTCCATCTGTCTCTTGAAAGGCAATGTCTATTCAGAAAATATTGACAGGCTGGAGTTTGCCACTGAGGTGTTCCAGAAAAGTAGAGATGCAAGAGCACACATGATTTATCCATAAATGGAAGCAATGGACATATTCAACTTAAAGAATAAGGAAAAAAGTTCTATACTGGACATTTGACTTGTTCAGTTTCTCATCATATGCTTAGAACCTTTTTGATTTATGTGGGGATTAATAATGTGCCATGAAGAAAGAATACAAAGAATAAAAAAGTACATAATTGTGCTTGAGGCAAAAGCATCCAATTTTTGAGTTTTATAAACAGCTGTCATAGGCCAGCCTGATCTACTTTATTCTGAGGCCCAGTTGTCCTTGTTCTCTACCTTCACTTAGTTTCTGACAGCTAGAATTTGGAAATGTCTGCTTTGGCCTCAAAAAAACATACTTTGCATGATGCTGTCTTAATTTATCATTCCATGATTTTCCCACGGCCCAAAGTGAGGCTCATCAGCCTGTCATTGTCATGTCATGGGTGTATCTCCCTCCTCTCCTCCCCTTTTTTTATTTTTTTAAGATGGGTGTAAGGTTTATCTTTCTCTAGCTGTCAAGGACCTCCCCCAATCTCTGTGACCTTTCAGTGACAATAGAAAGTGGCCTTGCAAGGGCAGTGGCTACTTTTGAGCACCCTTGGATGTAGCTTGTTGGGTCACATGGTCTTGTATGGAGCAAGTTTTCTCAAGTAATCTCTGACTCGATCCTCATCCACTGCTGGCAGTGCTCATCCTTGAATCCTTTCACTAAGCACAGAGGCCTGGGAGACCTTGTTGGTAAAGCCTGAGGCAAAGAAGGAACCAAGTACCTCAGCTATATCTGAGCAGTCATTTTCCTTATTCAGCCTTTTATTACTAATGTAGTAGTAGAAGCTCTTCTTGCTGCCCTCGACATCCCTTGCAAGTTTCACCTCCAGTTGAGCTTTGGCTTTCCTGATGCTATCCTTACATCCCTGGGCAATTTTTTCTTAATGCCTCCTTTGTAGCACATCCCTGCTTCCATCTCCTGCATGTTGCCTTTCTGAATTGGTTCCCTGCTTAGCCAAGCCTGTGTCCTGATACTTCTATTTTTTCCCTTGAGTGATAGAAGGGCAATTTTATCTTTATTTTTTACCAAAATTCACGAGTTCTGCTACTCATGCAGAACTTTTTTTCTTCATTAGCCTAAAATGTCTCAGCCTCAAGAGAGCTTTAAAAACCTCTTCTGACAATTCATACTTCTGCTCTTACAATCCTTTCTGCACTATCATCCAACTATCCTATATAACACTTTTGATTCCTTTTTGGGGTCCAATCCGCCTATCACCAACTCAGGTCGCTCAAGGAAGGATACCTTTACAAGTATATGAAGCCTCTCCATTGCCTCAGAATTTTTTTTCACTACTGTCAGACCAGGTGATTGGAGATAAAGTAGTGGGAAGCACAGGGTTACTCTTACTTAACACCATGCTATTCATGCTAATGAAAAGCTGAAATCTCTTTTATTCCAAATATTTAGCTTCTGAAACTTGAACATAATTAATATAGCTGCTCAAAAAGTTTTTTGTTAACCTTCTGGAAAATACAATTGCAAATAATATATTCTGCTTCCTTTTTTTTTAAAAAAAAAGTTAACTTTTCATTAAAAAATAGTTTTTTTCATGTAACTTTCTAACAAAGACTGAAATTTTTAAACAGGCCCTTCATGAGAACTATTTCATCTAGTAGCAATTCCCATTTTTACAATTAAAAAAATCTGTGTCCACACAACATATATAGTTGGCTCAGGTTTCTGTTGCAAGATAGCCTCATTTTTTGTCTTTTAAAGTCTTTATTATCTGACTGTAGAGTAACAACATGGGGCTCCTCCATGCTAACACACACCATAGCCCTACCTAGAGATATGAAAGACAATGTTCGTCAGTTTAGAGATTTTAAGAATTGGAAATTTCATCTGCAATATTAAGCACCTTCTGATTAGATGATAAGACAGCAGAAAGGCAGTATTCTGTTGAAATGATGAATCCTATTTTGGCTTAATACATAGCTCAGTTTTGAACATCAGTTGTATTTCTAATGCAGAAATTCCTACTGTAGTGATTTCATAATGCTGCAACTCTAGAAACGAGGTGTCCCGATCCACTGTTGGGGGAAGTTTTGATACGATCCCAAGAGCGAGATTAAGACACAAATGGGGTCAAATGCCATACAACCTTGTAAGCTTTATTCTCATAAGCACGATAGGACAGAGAGAAGAAGAAGAGAAAAAAGAAAGAAAAGCAAGCAATCAGGAGAGATGCAGCAAGATTATAGTTACCACCATCACCAGTCCAGCTAAGTGTCGTTGTCTCCGCTTCGGTGCAGGTACAGGAGCTTCGGTGCCGGTGATGTTCCACGCACACCTCAGTGCAGGTGATGTTCAGGGAAAGAAGCCATGCGCCCCGGAAGAAGCCGCACACAGGGGGGAAATACACAGTCTTTTTTATGTCTCAGTTCTTGAAGAGTCCACCCACTTTCGTATGTGCTGCATGCTCTGGTGCTCCTCTTCACCCAACTCGAATGCAAGCGCCACTCCGTAGGCACTGCCGAGCATTGTTTTGGTCTCGTGCTGATCTCACAATCTTCCCAGAGACAGGATGCCGAGGCCAAGAAGTAGATAATACACCTCGAGCTGATCTCACGGTCTTCCCAGAGGCAGGATGCCAAGACCAGGAAGTCGTTAATTGTACAGAGATAAAACACCTGGAGCTGACATCACAGTCTTCCCAGAGTCAAGGCCAAGAAGTCATAAATTGTATGGAGATAAGACACCTGGAGCTGATAGACGGGACGCCTAGGTCAAGAAGTCCTAAATGGTATGGCAACAATGACGAGACAAACACAATCCAAAACAGTCTCTTACACGAGGCTGCTTTTCTTTGCTAATATTTATTTTAATAGCATCAGGCAAGATCAAGGCTCTATTTTCTTGAACCGTTTTTGAACATATGGCGAGATGTGTGATGGTTATGAAAGTTGTGTGTAAAAACAACTTCCTTAAACATAGATGTTTGTTTTATCAATGTAGGCCCTTCTTTTAACACTCTGTTCTGTTATTCCTTCTGATCATTTACACACACATTTCCATTCATACCCCATCATACCAATTTTAGTATTTATGTTACAGATCTCTGATCTCTGATTTCTTTCCTTAAAAATACTTTTCTGTTTCAGTTAGATTCTCAATTCCCATGTGTGTGCTTTTTATGGGTACGTTCCATCAACTCCCTCATTATCGGTGGAGTCATGACACCCTGTCTGACTGGAGTTCCCCACCATCCATCATCAGTCTTTTTGCATTTTAATTCATCCAACCTGTTCTCTTTGTCTGTGTGCTTAGGGGCTTTGAGTTTTAAGATGCTCTCTGCAACCAAGGTGGTTATGGTTGTTGACAATGCGACTCTTTGCAGCTTCATCTGCTTTCCTGTTTTCTTTGATTACAGCAGTTTGTCCAGGTCTGTGTGCCTTGCAGTGTATCACTGCTATCTCTTTAGGTTTGTTGACTGCCTCACACAGCAGCATAACCTCTCTACTGTCTCTCTAGTGTTTTTGGTTGTACTTTTGCAGTATTCCTATGCCGCTTGTTGACCATTCCCTACTCCAGCCCTTGCCCTTCCCCAAACTCCCATCCCACCAAAGACTCTAAGCTCTAACAGAGAGTGGAGATGTTCTCAGTGTTTGGTGGAATTAATTCCAATGTGCAGCATTCTATTCGTTATACACTTGTTTAGATCTCACTTTTCCATTATGCCTATGTTTTCCACTGAAGTCAGGAATTATAGGATTTTGAAAAGAAGGGCAAATGTTTCCATTTTAAGTTTTCTTAATCTCTGGTAATGAAACTGGCAGAACTTCTTCAGCTTTCAAGAGGATCAGAGTGGGTCATATAGAAGCAGAAACAACTGTCATAGATGTTTATAAGTTTCAGTGCACGAATGTTTGGAAGTAATGTGACTGTTCTAGCATATAGTTGCTAGTCTTTGAATGAGACAAACTTCCTAACAACAGCCTTCTCCTGAGGAATGGAATAGCCTAGAGGACAAATTCCGTTGAATTAGTAGTCATTTGTCAGAAGGTTAACTAACTGTAGTATTGATATCAGGAAGTTCTCAGTTAGTTCTAGTCTCAGAAAGTCCTAGATAGGACTTTCTTTGAATTCCAAATACTTGGATGCCTCTTAAATGTTGAGTTTTAGGCTGCAGTAATGGAATTTCTGGAAATCATTAAGTCATGTGAGAGGAAGCCTAGTGTTATATATTTTCAGAGTTCAGTGAATGGCCTTTCTGTTTAAAAACAAAACAAAAGAGAGGGGAAAAAAAGCCTCTTTTCTACTCCCTTCCTTGTTTCTCTTGCAGAATTTTCTAATGCAAAATATCACTCCTGAGCCATGGAGGTGCTGCAGTGTGATGGTTGTGATTTCCGAGCTCCATCCTATGAAGACCTGAAAGTTCACATTCAGGATGTTCACACTGCTTTTCTGCAGCCAACAGATGTCTCTGAAGAAAGCCCTACCCAGCCTAGGTCTGGCTCCATGAATGCTAGCAACCAGACCGAGGTTGAATTTTCTTCTGTAAAGGATGAATTTACAATTGCAGATGAAATAGCAGGTAAATCTCAACCCTAAGCTCCAATCTCACATGTGACATTTCAGTGCTTTTTAATTTGTATGTTTCAGTGTGGTTTTTTTTCTTTTTAAGCTATTATCTTTATTGCTATGGCAGTGAAGTGAATGATGTTTAGTTACAGCCATGCAAACATGGAGTGTGGATCTGTCTCCTTGCTGTTTTTTTTCATGTGCTTCTTCACATTGCTTCTTTTCCTTTCTTTTCGCCACCATGAGCTCTAGAAGAATTCTGAACTTACTTATTCTGGAAGCTGTCCATCCCAAATTATGCACCATCCATTAGTTTTCTGAGCATTCGCATATGTACAGATCTAAAAATAAATGAGGAAATCCTGGTGTGATTAATATGTGTTCAAGACGTGGTTATATTCATATGCATACAGGGTCTGGGTGGGGGGGAATTGTCTATTTCATTCTCCTTATTGACATTCAAATTTTTAATTCCTATTTTAGGGCAAAACGCAACAACTCAGATGGGGCCTGGAACTTCTTATAAGCAGAGCCAAAGTTCTTATGGTCAGCACATGGCTCCAAATCCTAGACCAACCAACAAGTTTTTCCAGTGCAAATTCTGTGTGCGTTACTTCCGATCTAAAAACCTCCTCATAGAGCACACCCGCAAGGTTCATGGAGCACAAGTTGGAGGGAGTTCAGTAGGGCCACACACTACTGGATCCTTAAATTACAACATCATGATGCATGAGGGGTTTGGCAAAGTTTTCTCTTGCCATTTCTGCACATACAAATCACCAAGGCGCGCAAGGATTATTAAGCACCAGAAAATGTATCACAAAAACAACCTGAAGGAGAGTTCAATTCCCCTTGCTGCTGCCGCTGCTGTATCTGAATTGACATCTGCCTCTGTGCCAGTGCAGGAGTCCTGCAAGGAATTGCCTGAAGAGGTGGTAGAACGGAGCATTTTGGAGTCCATGGTTAAGCCCCTAACAAAGTCCAGGGGCAACTTTTGCTGTGAATGGTGCAGCTACCAGACACCTCGGAGGGAGCGCTGGTGTGACCATATGATGAAGAAGCACCGCAGCATGGTAAAAATATTGTCAAGCTTGAGGCAGCAACAAGATGGAACCAGTGTGCCTGATGTGCAGAATAATAGAGTCCAGAATGCCTGCCCAAACTCTAATTATGTCTCCATGAATACGACAGGACGTGATTTGTCAAATGCCTCAAACTTCAGATGTACTACAGGCAATTCCCTTATCAGGCCCAACTCTTCTACATCCTCCAAGTTTTCTAGTGTGTCTTATCCTCAAATGAAGTCCAAGATACCTCAAAACTCAAGTGTAGTTAATTTGTCAGACAGATCCTGCTATGGAGTTGCTGACATGACAAATTCTTCTGCTGACTTGGAAACAAGCAGCACATTAAATGACTCTAGCTCAGATGGTGAAGAACTAAACAAAGTGGACAGTGAGAATGGCTTGAACTCTGTGGATCACCAAACCTTAGGAATGTCTGCAGAGCAACTGATGGGATCTGATGGGAACAAACTGTTGGAAACAAAGGGGATTCCCTTTAGAAGATACATGAACAGGTTCCAATGTCCTTTTTGCCCTTTCCTCACGATGCACCGCCGAAGCATCTCCCGTCACATTGAAAACATTCACCTCTCTGGGAAGACAGCTGTATACAAATGCGATGAATGCCCTTTCACCTGTAAAAGTTCATTAAAGCTTGGAGCTCATAGGCAGTGTCATGCAGGCCCAGCATCAGAATGGGACACCTTGAATCCTCAGAGTGAAAACATGATCTCTTTGAATGACAACACAGTTTCTTATGATAGCGGAAATATAAATGGTAGGAAGTCAGCTAGGATGATGGAGCCAGTGCAACAGCAGCAGTTGCCTCAACCCCATTCACACCATCCCCATAAGTGCACAATGTGCAACTATTCCACCACCACTTTGAAAGGCCTCAGAGTTCATCAGCAGCACAAGCACTCATTTTGTGATGACTTGCCAAAATACGATGGATTGCCATCCAACACACAAGAGGAGAGTGAGGCAGATGCTCATACCTCTGCAAGCACAGTGAAGAAAAGCCAGACCTCAATTCTTGGGCTCTCATCTAAAAATAATTTCGTTGCTAAGGCTGCTCGAAATGTGTTAAATGACTGCCCTTTGCATCTTTCACCAGTGAAGAAAAGAACTAGAATTGATGAAATAGCAAGCAACCTGCAGAGCAAAATCAACCAAAACAAACAGCAAGAAGATGCTGTGATTAATGTAGAGGATGATGAGGAAGAGGAGGAAGACAATGAGGTGGAGATAGAAGTGGAATTAGACAGGGAAGAAGAACAAACAGAACCAATGTTAGAGGCTTCTAGTTCTTATGCACCCCAACAAATGTGGGGGAGAGACACTAATGAGTCCCAGAAGGAGGCAAGCTTTGGAAACATGCAGCATAATTATAATTCCACCAGCGGAGCAGAGATTGAGCTCACTTTATCTGAAGATGAGGAAGACTATTATTCTTCCATTAGCATCAAAGACCAACAGAGCCCTAACACCTCTGTTCTGGGGAGCCAGCCAAATATGTATGGCCCTGATCAGAATAACGAAAACGTGGAGTTTAACAACACTGGCAGGCTTTATTATTGTAAACACTGTGATTTCAGCAACAAATCTGCTAGGAGCGTTAGCACCCACTACCAACGGATGCATCCCTACATTAAATTTAGCTTTAGGTATATCTTGGATCCTAATGATCACAGTGCAGTATACCGATGTCTTCAATGTTATATTGACTACACAAACTTTGAAGATCTGCAGCAACACTATGGAGACCATCACCCTGAAGCTATGAATGTACTGAACTTTGATCACTCTGATCTGATCTACCGCTGTCGCTTCTGTTCATATACAAGCCCAAATGTTAGAAGCCTGATGCCGCATTACCAAAGAATGCATCCAACAGTGAAAATTAACAATGCAATGATATTTTCAAGCTATGTTATTGAACAGCAAGAGGGACTAAACACAGAGTCTCAGACACTGAGAGAGATCTTGAATTCTTCTCCAAAAACTATGGCAACCTCCACCCCCATGGCTCATGGGGCTAGCGTGCCAGCATGTTTTAACAAAAGTGCCGCAAAGAGTTTTAGTTCTGAATATGAAAATGAGAAGGTGCCTTCAGTCAATACTGTGGTTGTTTATGACTGTGACATGTGTTCGTTTGCAAGCCCCAACATGCATTCTGTTCTGGTGCATTACCAGAAAAAACATCCTGAAGAAAAAGCATCATATTTCAGAATTCAGAAGACCATGCGTATAGCTTCTGTTGAAGGCTCTGCCCTGGCTCAAATGTCTTTCGAGATGGGGGTGCACATCTCCCCAAAGGTGTCCAACTTGGCTTCCCAACCTCCCTCCCCCCCGCCTCCAGACCTTACTCCTGAACTCTACTTTTGCAAACACTGTTCATACAGCAACCACTCAGTTGTGGGAGTGCTTGTCCACTACCAGAAAAGGCACCCAGAAATAAAGGTCACTGCCAAGTATATCAGGCAGGCACCTCCTACTGCGGCAATGATGAAGGCTGCTAAGCTGCCATCTGGGATTCAGAGGCTGCCAGTGTTGATGCAACAGTTGAGCCGGGGCAGTTCTCAGAGCTCTGTGAATCCCCTCGAGAACGAGATGTTCTTCTGCCAGCACTGTGATTATGGAAACCGGACTGTGAAAGGCATGCTCATTCATTATCAAAAGAAGCATCGTGGTTTCGTGAGCTAGAAACAACTCCTGACATGAGAGAGAGAGTGGGGATATGGGGAGATGGGAGAAACGATTTGACTCTTACACTCACTTTTCTTAATTCCAGGAAGATAAGTATAATCATTTAAATGCTTAGTGTGGTGTTTTTGTGCATTTGTGACTTTTTACAACTTGAACTCCATGCTGATTTCTAAGCTGTTAGCATTTAATGTTGCAAAAGAGTAATTTTAAAATGTACTTATTACCTTCTTGACTGCCCTTCAGCAACAAGGCCTTGTCTTTTACCCTTAGAAGCATGAATGTTCATCTCCTCTTTGGAGTCAGCTTCAGGAAAACAACATTCTCATATGGAGAAACTGCAATTTGAGCAGAGGGAATTCTGCTTTGGCACTAAGGAACTTCTATAGCTATAGTTCTATAGTTCTCTCTATAGCTAGCACTTAGGCACGTATCCACCAAATAAGCTATACTGCAGGTTAAAATTACAGTAACTATTATCTTGCATGTTGTTGAAGGGCAATCTTTCTCAAAATATGATAGAGGTGGCCAGAGCAAATGGGGTCCAAGGTCCTACTTAGGCTTTGCCTTCCTTGCATCAGTATAAAGCTCCTTCCTTAATCTTCCCTGTAGTTTTGATTGATGTGCCTGATGCAAGGCATTAATTCAATTTGTTTCTTACTAGTGTGAGCTGAAACAATCCCAACTGAAGGTTTAAATAATTGTGGTTGGGCTAATAGCTTAATACAAGACTCCTTGCCATTAACATCCCAATTTGAATAGGAAGCTATCCAGATTCTGTTAGGAAGTGCTCAGAGAATGGAGAGTTGCCCAAAGATGTTTAATTGTACTAAAACCAAGATATGTTATCAATGCATTGTATGAATAATGCTACTTGTACAATTTGGTAGGAGGGGCAGCCTGTATTTGTGTGTGTAGGGCCCCTCTATTCTCTTGGGTATGGTCCTCTTATAGCCCTTATGACCTGATTTGATATTTCAGGAGAAAAAAAAAAAAAAAAAAGACTTGTGAGATCTGCCACTATATTGTTTCTTGCAGTAAATTCAGGCTGTCAGTGGGATCACAACTTCACTTCCCTGAACCTTACTTATCCTTCCGTATGTTTATTGTTGGTCAACCAGTGTAGAATATCTGAATCTGAGCAATGATAGTTTGTTCTCGATGCATGTTCAGCAATGACCGCAACAACTCTCTGATCACAGCTGGTGCTTCTTGGCATTTTGGACACATGAGTAACAAGTAGATATCTTATCAGGTCTCCTTTGTCTAGTGTGATTGCAAGGTGGGCAAGAGAGGGACAGATACCAGCATAGAGAGGCGCTCAATATTTATGAGGGGCTAAACACGATATATTTATTAAAGGGTTTAAATCCCAAACTGCATGGGGAGCCCCAGGAAATGTGTTGAAAGGTTGCTGACAGGAGGCTGCTGGAGGAATGGGTTGGATGCTCAGGTGGGCCTCCCCCTGTATATCCCAAGGCCCCCCTTTTATCTACTAGAACTATTTCCTTATCTCCGCTGTGCTAACCTTGAGTAGCTACTGCCTGGGAAGCAGCTAGACATTGTTGACAAAGTGGAATATGAATACCTGGCCCTGATGAGAATTTGGGCAGCGTGAAGTTTCACACGCTGGGGCTTCTACCACATACTCTGCCAGTCACTGACTCCTTGCCAGCTCTTCTGCAGGTGTTCTCGCTACATATGTGTTTTTTTGTTGTTGTTTTGTTTCAGGACAATGAGCTGGTATAATACACAGATCTGAATCTGCAGAACAAGAATTCTCATTCCTACAAAGACAGGAACACAAAACGCAAAACACACAATATTCACTTTTACATTGTTATAGAGAAAAATTGAAGTTTACATTTCTGTTAGAATAGGAGACAATGAATAAACTATGATTTTGGAGGAAAAATAGAAGCCTCAAAAGCTGAGATAATCAGTTCACCAGAGGTCATAGGAAGTTGGTTCAACAGCCATTCTTACTGAGGTCCATATAGCATGCTTATTTTTGATACATTTAAATTCATTTTAATGCAATTAATGCATGCTTAATTTTAATCACATACCTAAGTCCTGCATTAATTTAATGTTAAGCATATGCTTGAGTGCACTGCTGAAGTGTGGATAGAGTTTCATGAGTGTTTGAGGTGGGAAGAGCGAGCCCTGTGCTGTAAATCTCAATTATGGGAGTTGCTCTTATAGTTCTATTAGGACCCATTGTGGAATCGAAGGCTGCAGGATTGGTTCCAAGGTAGATAAATTCCCATATAATGCTGCAAAGCAGAGAACAAGTGTTAAGAGTTTATAAGGGAAGGTATGCTACAGAACTTCAGAATAAGTCCCACAAACTGACTGCACCTTTCTTCTCTGAGAGTTCACACCTATGTAGAAGTCCTGCATGAGCCTCAGATAACATCTATGGCTCCCATTCTGCACAGACTTTAGCAAATGCTTACTGTTGATTACTTCAATGGGATTGCTGCCAATGTGTAAAAATTACCCCTTTAGCAGTGGCACTGGCTGAGCACATAGCCTTTCTTCAGCAGTTTCATGGTTTGGCCTCAGCCAGAAAACCTGTTCATGACTTGAGCAGATGTTTCTGATTTTAGGAAACAGTAATTTCTTCTTTTCCAGGAGCACATGGCAGCACAGTCAATACGTGGAAACCTACTGCTTTACAGTAGATCCAGAGTCTAAACTGGTACTTTACTAGAAAATGGTAATAAATCAATTTGAATTACTTTTCATCCTGCATGTTCTTAATGGCTTTCAGGTTCATATAAGACAATCCCTTAATCCTGCTTCAGACCTAGAGGAAATGGGATGTTTCTTACCCTCTGAAGAGGAGGAAAAATAAAATCCTGCCCAGTCTCAGAGGTAACTTGAAGGTCCATGTCCCGAGTCTTGCCCAGCCTCTGAGTTTTCTCAGGGGCAGTTTGAAAGCCCTCACCCCCAACCTCCAATACTGCTGATCCACTAGGCTCCTCAGGCCTGGACCTTCAGTTTTTGCCTGACTTGCACTGTAGCTGTACTTGTCTTGAGTCTCGTTTCTGGTTCCATTTTCTGAATGGATCTCAAGTCTACATTGTACATAGCTTGTCTCCAGTCCTGTTCCTGACCCTGTCTTCTGGATAGACTCCTTGGAGCTATGTTGTAGCGTCATCTCCTGCTCTTCTTGACTGGACCCCTTAGATGAACCCTGGACATGATTATGCCACCTCATCTGGGATTGTTAATGGCCCCTGTTACTGGTCCCTTCCTCTACCCACCTTGTTCAGATGCTGTGGGACTGTTTTCTGATGGGTGAGGGCACCACCTAGGCTGCAGTTATTGTCAGCTCTCTGTTCATTCTCTCTCATCAAGCAGCCCCTCTCTTGATCCTCCTTGACACTTTGAGATGATGAGGCAATGGGAGGGCCTCCTTGTCATCTTGCATAGCACAGGGATTAGACTATTTCCTTGATTTAAAATGCACAAGGATCAGGCTGCCCCTTTATTTCCTGACAGTTTTCATCTGTCAGAGAGCTAGAGAAATGCTGAAGGACAGGACTATGCCTATCAGGCCCCTGTTCTGGACATCTCCGCACAACAGCATCATTCCAGTCATAGGCTCATACATGCCATAGGCTCATACCTCTGCACCCCACTGTTAGTGCTGATCCCACATTTTCCCATTATATCTTAATATGTCACAGTGAGAAGCACATCAGAACTGTTACTCACAGCAGCTGTTAATTTTAAATGACCATGTCAATTAAGATGACCTGCTCAGCCATGAGAAGAGCCAGAGAAAATATTTCACTCAATGTTCACCATCTCCAAAACATAAATCTTTGAGAAGGACAGATTTTTTCAAGCAATAAAGACTAAGAAGGAAAATGTTTTCAAAGACCATAAGAACCTAGTCTTTCCAGATTTAGGCACAATGATAAATATCAAAAGGAAACAAAAGATGCCCATTTCTGCACATTTCCTATGTACTTAATTGCTTAATTCCCACCAGTCTGTTGGGAATGTGGCTTCACCAGAGCTGAGCAGAAGGACTCATGTTTGGAAATAGCTTCCAGGAGGATTTATTTTATCACCTTTCCAGGGATTGATGTGATGCTGAGCAGCCTGCAATCCCCTAGATCCTCCTTTCCACCCTTCTGGAAGACAGGAATTACATTTGCTTCCTTCCAGGCCTTAAGAACCTCCCCCAATTGCCACGACCTTTCAAAGATAATTGAAAAGAGCCTTGCAATGACATTGACCAGGTCCCTCAGCATTTGTGAGTGCATCCCATCAGATCCCATGGACTTGTGTGTTCAGTTAGCTTAAATGTTCCCTAACCTGATCCTCCTCCACCAAGTGCAATTCTACCCTGCCCTGGACTTTTCTCCTGGTCTGAGAGACCTGGGATTGCTGAAGGCCAGTCTTACCAGTAAAGACAAAGGAAAAGAAGGCATTGAGTATTATGGGCTTCTCCTTTTCCTTTGTGCCCATGTCACCTGGTCCATTCAGCAGGCGGCCCACGTTTTCCCTAGTCTTCCTTTTGCTGCTAATGTACCTGTAGAAACCTTTCTTGCTGCCCTTCACATCCCTCACCGGATTCAACTCCAGATGGGCTTTGGCTTTCCTAACTCCATATCTGCATGCTTGAAAAGTGTCTCTATATTGTTCCTAGCTCACCTGTCCTTTCTTCCACCTTTTGTATGCTTCCTGTTTATGTTTGTCAGGAGCTCCTTGTCCATCCATGCAGACCTCTTACCACCTTTGCTTCTTGTCCTGCTTGTTGGGATGGATCATTCTTGAGTTTGAAGAAGGTGATCCTTGGACCCCTCTTCTCACCAGGACTCTCTCCCATGGAATTTTTCCAAGCAGGTTCCTGAAAAGGTCAAAGTTTGTTCTCCTCAAGCCCAGGGTTCTGATCCTGCTCTTTGCCCTGCTCTGTCCTCTCAGGACCCTGAACTCTACCATCATGGGGTCACTGCAGCCAAGGCTGCCCCTGACCTGTA